ACATGAACTCCAACCAACTACTCCATTAGACTCCATGTTAAATCTGACCACTCATTTCTCAAAGAAAGCAGACGGTACCAGTTTTGTATATTGCACTGGAGCTCACATTTATAACACCACAAACATAAAAACCACATTACCGCGTTTGGCAGAGTCTTAGCTCTCTCACGGTATCCATATTTTATTGATTAGTCTCATGGTTTTGGTATAAAGGGCATATGTTTGACAGGTAGTTTTGTTGAAAATCACTGTTCACTCTAGTCTCTCTTAATTAGCCTCTAACACACAGGTGCTCCAATCACCAACATACACCCAACCACACAGGTGTTTATATGAGCTCATTAGTGATGTTGATTAACACAGAGAGGCACTGAGACACACACGCACACACATGATTTAGAGATATACGTGATGCAGCTCAGCCAATCAAATATGGGTATTCTGATAAGTTTCCTGATTCGAGTGACATTTACACACACAAGAGGGAGAGACGAGGAAAGACATGGCAGAGCAGGACAATAGTCATGTAAGCTGTAAATGATAAAACATAGGACAATCTCCAAATGAGAAAGATTGCCAGAGAGCTCTCTCTCTCTCTCTCCAAAATAAAAGCCCCACAAAATGAATCCTAATTGAAATGCTTGTGATGAAGCCTGTCATTTAATAATGTGTTTATGTTTATCTAAGATTATGATTCTGTCTCCTCTCCCCTTCTCCCCCCCCACACCCCATTTCAAAATAAAAGCCCCACAGAGTGAAATCTAACTGGAATGCTTGTGATGAAGCCTGTCATTTAATAACCTCTGTTTGTTTCATACATTCTGTCTCCTCTCCTCTACTTCTTCTACTGACATTATTACTACTACTACTACTACTACTGTTATATTAAATACTACGACCAATACTACAGCTATTACTACGACTACTGATATTACTACTTCTACTACTTCTTCTAATTACTAATACTTCTACTACTAATAATACTACTACTACAAATATCACTACTGCTACTACTAGTACTTATTCTAATGCTGCTAATACTTCTACTACTAATAATACTTCTACAACTACAACTTCTACTACTCCAAATATCACTACTGATGAAATTGTTTAAGCCACAGAAACCGTTCGAATATCAAAATGTCCAGCTCTTTCAGGAGAGGGGTGATATGACTTTTCATATTTGTAAGCTTTAAACTTTTTGAATTATTAAACTTTTTGCAATTTTCTTTTGAAAGTGATCTCTATGGAGAAAATCTTCAAATCAGTGTAGTGCAGTTTTGCACTGCAAATGCAGTGCAGTTTAAATGCTTTCGGGCTTCAACATTTTTCAGATGGCTGGTCTCCCATTTCTTAATTTTCAGCAATTTTTTTACAATTAATTTCAGCTTTCAGCATTCCAATGCATTTTCAGCAGGAAATGCATTTTCTAGTTTAGTTTCATATTTGCTGATAACCAAACACGCTCCTTTACGTTCCCAACAATACACATATGCTGCATTGTCTTGTAAACCAACATGCACTTGTTTGTAGTTTGAGCTCTTGATAGCTGGTCAGCTAATAACTTGTTAATCCCTTAAACTCTTTTTACTAGAATGAGATGGAGGCAGAATAAGGAGGAGCTCGTGCTAAATGACTTCACTGTTTCGTAAAGCATGCCTAAATTGTAGTTTTTGGATTTTTAAGAACCTTTCCACACATACATATCCTTTATAAGCTGGCTGCTGCTTGTGTTCAGTACTCTCTCTGCTTTACAGTATCATGGATCACTTATTCTGTGTGTATTGCATGTTCTCAGACACTTTTAAGTTATTTACAGGCAATTCCTAATTTAGATTACTGAGACCAAGGTCAGAGAAGAAAGTGTCTAAAAACAAGTGCATGTACTGTATGTATGTATTTGTTGCATCAGTGTGTGTTGCCCTCACTCCGTCCAGGGAGAGCCAATCTCAGCTCTCTGAGTTTAATCAGGCACCAGACACAGACGGCCCGCCATGAGAGCAGCAACCCAGGACGTGATGCGAATCGGGATTCCTGATTTTCCTCGCCCTCCGTCCGCTCGATGCGATTTTAAAGCCTGATGCTTCAAGGTGGGAGACATTTTACAGCGTTCGCACTGTAATCTTCTGGCCGTTCTATTTTAAACCATTCTCTTTTTTGTAATCTCTATCTGGCTCTTTCGGTCTCGCACACGCTGTACAAACAGAGCACATGGACAGATCACTACCGGTGGGATAAATCACCTCTGACTTCTGTTTGATGGAGACCTGTTTCTGCCACACAGAAATAAAGGGAAAAAAAAAGCCCAAAGGTGGATACAAAAAGAAAGGAAGGCCGTATGAATGATGAAAAATATTTGTCATGGCATGTTTAATGGAGGGAGACAGACTAGGTGATCGTGTAGGGAGACGTTAGAGAAAGAGTCTGGGCATAATGATGGAAGGCAAACAATTAAAGAAATGTAGCACATGGAAGGAGGAGAGATGTGATAGTGAGAGAAGAAAGTAGAGAGAGAGACTGGATAAATGAGACATGGAATGAGAAGAATCCTTTAAACTCCTGCATCTACGAAATCTCACAAAGCCCAGTCGCTTGCGGAAGTATTTTACTTAATAAATACAGATTATTCTTGATAATCAATCAGATGTAAAGACACAGGGCGAAGTCGGAGCCCCCAACTGACAGAGAAGATAGAGTAGAAAAAAAGGGAGCGGGATGGTAAGGGAAAGAGAGAGGATGTCAAAAAGACCATCAAACATGCACTTAACATATCAAAAAGGACACACAGTTGGTTTGTCTGGAACGGATATGTTTATTTTCTACCATCGGAACTCTGCATATTTATCCTCTCATGTACTGTATATCTCATTATATCCACATGAATACAGACACTCTGTCTTCATGTTTTGTCCTCATTATCATTGTTGTTGTTGTTGTGTCTCACTTTGTTTCATTTATTGTCAAAATGTATATACTGTATGTGTTACCTTTTAATATTTAGGAAATTCACTATCCAGGTGTTTCCAGACAGAAAGCGATGTTAATGTTTGGCACGGTGCAACATACAGTCGAAATTTGGCACAAATAGAGGCTTATTTGCATCCCGTTGAGGTAACATTGTTTTGACTTTATCAGAATAGTCATGCCTACGAATATGCTTCATAAACATACAGGAAGAAGAGGAAAAAGGAGAGAAACTGTGCAAGATAGCTTGTAGCTATACCATCTGTACAGTCAAACTGACTTGCACAAATAATGCGAGGCAAACATTTGCTTTGCTTTCTATGTAAAAACTGCTTGAAATTACTTTCAGTGGATATTATACAGCTCTCATTAAAAGCAGTCATGGTCAGAAATACACATTTGCTATATCATCATGGCATAGTGACTAGAACGTTAGAACTTAAAATACATTCACAGATAACGAATATTTGCATTACAATAAACTACAAGCAAGCAAATATGTCAACATTTTTGAGGGGTACCCCTATGGAGTTTTGGCCAGTAGCGGCACTATGGAGCAATGTTTTTGTAAGTGGGTACACGTTTTGTTTGTGTCTCGTGCCCACGCGCAAGGATGCACAGCACATGTACTAGCACACATTTGACATTCCAATGACTTTCACCAGTTGGTAGCAATACGGCAAGAAATGTACATCAGAGAAGACAAGGAAGATAAAGACAAAAATGCAGGTTTGAAAATATTTTCTAGAATCTGCTTTGCAAATGATTTATGAGGAACTAAATGCTTTTAACGTGTTTGTTAGGCCTCAAGTATATCGACAATGTACTTTCATGTGTTTACAGGAAAACTCCACAGGGTAACGTATGCCAACGTGATTTTGTTAAAGGGCCCAATAGTCCCCCCCCTCCCCCAAATGTCAAATTTCCTCTCAGCTCAAGGCTGTTTTATAATTCAGGTGTGCAAATAAAATATGACGGTATTTTGAGATCTGCTGCTGGGCTCAATAACTAAATCAAGAAGTGCAATTTAGAGCTTTGAAATTAGGAGGCTTGGAATTTTAAAGAGGGATGAGAACTTTTTTGGAGTGTATAAATCTCTCAAAGGACAGATGGCGAAGGTTAAATCATTTACAAACCAAAACAAGAGGGTTTCAAAGCACAGACCTGGAAAAAAGATACGACGGGGGCGGGGGGATGGGCACTCCCAAAACAGCGTGACGATAGAAGGGTTGGGCAGTGCCCCGGCAACAGAAAGACGAGACTATTTCGGGGGATCTTATTCATAGTCTTAACACCTCCCTCCATGGAGGGAGAGTAAAACTCCGACGTCAGAGGAGCTACAGCAGAGGGCTATAAAAAGATACCTCGCTCACAACAATGAGTGATGTGTGTGTACACGTACTGTGTGCGTGTGTTGACTGAAATCGAGCGCATATGGAACTCAAGGCTATTGTAGATTTTCATTACTCATGCCATGTTTTCTGTGTGTGTGGCACATAATTTGTATGTGTGGTGATTCGTGCCCAATAAACTCTCACGTGCGCCTGTGTTTGCCACTTTTCCCATAAGCAGGTTGTTTATGTCGTTGGGGGGGAATAGCTAGGAGCCGCTAATGAGCTGTGTCTCTTTTTTTCACAATACACTAGCAAATCACAAGGTCCAAGGTAAGATTTAAACTGCCGTACTGTCACGGCAGGTTTTACGTTGAATTAAGCAGCACTTCATAAATGAATAAGCGTTGCCCTGATCAGAACTGCAAAATGCAAAAAACATTGCCCCCTGCAATCCAGTGCCGTAAGAAATCAATATTATAAACATAAATCATTCACCTTTTTTAACACTCATGATTTACAGTCTGATATTCAGTTTAAACATTTTAATTAAATGCTTTAAAGGGGCATTTCTACCAATGTTACACATTAAATTCAGTTTAATGTGTAATTCAGTCGTACTACAAAGTAGACCTCAGTCGTACTACAAAGTAGTACGACTGAGGTCTACTTTGGCTCAGGAAGAGCATTAAAAAGAGGTCTTACCACTTCCGGGGGCACCCTGGTTGCCAGATCATGGATGGCCTTTCCAACGATGCACACGGAGGAGAGAATGAACACAACCCCAAGGACCACACACGCCCTGCAGACAGAAAATCAGACAGAGAGCAAGTTTTTGGAGGTTCGGCTTGCGTGGTCTCTTTCCAACAAAGTTGGGTAGTAGTTGAACCAAAGCAATAACCTAAAAGAGCCAACTCGAGATCAGTCACAATGTTAACAACTTCTAGTCTCTCCCTCTTTTGCATTTGCATGAGGATCATTTGTCTTTTTCCTGCTGCAGTGAAGTCCAAAGCAAATGTTCACAGTATCCAGACATAAACTGTTATAAGTGATACTGGCGGTGGCTTTCAGTCTGGCAAACTAGGAAATGGTTTTACCAACCACTGTGAAATATTAAAGGAGCAGTCCAACAAATAATGAACAAATTCAGCTGTTAAAAACTCCTGTTCACTGGCTTGAATTACAGCCAGCCCTTTAAAAAAGACATACATCAGGAAAGATCGATATGGCAGTGTCGTGGTGCGTCAATTCCCTTCAGTTATACTGAATATTAAAGTTAATTTCACAGGCTACGGGTAGAATTAGCCACATGACACAGTGTCTGGCTCGGTGCATGATGGATGATGTTACAACACAAACTGTCGTAATACTGAAAGGCCTCTTTATGTCTGATTTGAGTGATAATACATCTAATGTAAAAAAAAAGTGTTTGGGAGTGGTCAGAAGACTGTTCACCATGTATTTGGGGCACTACCAGAATAAACAAGTTGCCGACTTCAGTCGGAGTGCTTAGGGGGAGGCAATTTGTGATGTTTGTTCAATGTGTTTTGTTTTTTTTGGAGGGGAAGGGGGGGGCTACAGGATGCACACTCAATAGCTCTGGATGCAATGGAATAAGATTAACACCTCTGCATTGCTTGACTTTTGACAGTCTCACTTCCTGTGACACACGGAGAAACAGTATCTGACAGATGCAGTGAGGTGGTGTTTATCTTTTTACTGATTCGGATGGTGGTCAGTCACAACAACTTTGTCACAATGCACTGAGCAAAAGGCAACATTTAAAGTCTGCATGTGTTTGGGCAATGAGTCTCTCCAAGACACATTTATTTTCACACAAAATTGCTTTACTGGAGTTCCAGCTATTAAATGTAGTAAAATATGCAGGCATTAACAAGAAGAAGAACTTGCAGAAGCGCTGGCACCTTCAGCATTTAAAAAAATAAACATAGCTACCAAATACAGATGTAGCCCAAATACACTCTCCATCCAAGACAATCTCCATCCATTTGCCTCGACCTAATTCAAAATGTATATTTGGTCCTGACCCTTTATCTATTCTTTCAGTTGGACACACTTTAACCTGAAAATCTCATTCTGTCTCAGTCGTACATTCTTATTTTTTTTATGTATTACCGGTTTACAGTTTAGTTTAAAGTCTTGCCTTACTCTACAAGTGTGAGAACAAAGACCATTTGTCAAACTTTAGTGTCTGTCTGTTTACAGCAAATAAGATGTGGATATGAACTTTGGCTTTTGCGGTATATACATGTACAGTATGCACATGTGTTATGTGTTTTTTGTGTGTAACATATTAGGTACATGATAATAAGTGAAGACAAATGTTTTCTCTTTGCAGTTTTATTGATTTGGCACATTCAGGTGTGTGTGTGTTTGTGTGTTAAATGGATGAGAGTGGCAGCTCGGCCGTCTATCCTCTGCGACACCTCTGAGCGGAGCAGAGGTGCTGTCGTAAGACGAACAAGGCTCTGCGTAACCTGAGAGCCACTTTGATGGACTCAGATCAACTTAATGCTACCTTCATCTTCAAATCACCCTTTGCTGTTTGTCTTTCCCAGTAAAAAACAACCATTAAAATATCACAAGATCCTGAAAATGAATACCATATCTGACAGAAAAAAATTGCAAACCTAGATTTAGTTGTTGAATTAGCATCTTTGCAAAATATAAATCAAGATCAGTGGGTGTTCGTAGACAAAAGAAAATGAAATGCAAAGACAGATAGATGGATGAATACTCCAGATACATAAATAAATATAGCAGCTCTCTTGCCTTACTGCAGGTAGAGAAGAGAAACACAAATTGCATCACACCACATATATTCGTTGAACATTCATTGAATTCAGCACGCTGTTTGGTACTCACAGATACTCTCTGTGTGCAGAGTGCACAGCTGCTGCATTGCTGTAGCGCCAGAGGACGATGAAAGAAGACAGGACGTCCAACGTGGCATCAAACTACAGCAGAAACAGAAACCCACAGACAAAGGAAGACAGGAAAATGTCTTAAGTTGCAAGTTATTGCAGTAGTTTCATCTAACTTATTACAATAGCTGCATATTTTTAATGACAAAAAGCATGTTGCAAAAAGCAGCTTAAATATTAGCTCCCAAAATAATATGGTAGTGGTACATGATACTGTAGCAGTGCTGCTGATACGCTGCACCATCACGCTCAGAGGTATCAAATGTGTTGTGGCATATGATCATAATCTTATGTGGTGTTGGAATGAAAAATACATTTTTACAAACATGTATTTTCAGCAGCTCTGTGAAGATGTAAGTCAATTGAAGCAGAGAGCTGAGTTCTCCTGCTGCAAAATCTGTTGTTGTTTCTGCCTGGGGGATCATGTGATCGGTCGTGCGTTCGTGAGTGTGTCCGTGAATGTGCACCTCCATTTCTACCTACTGCCAATCTCATATTATGTTGCAGAACACTGTATATTATACAACAGTGAGGGGATGACAGTTTGCGGAACTACCAATGCAAACACCGCTTTGCGCCTCTCAACTGCAGCTCACTTTATTGTTTTGGACGGTATGTTTGGCTAACAGCTAACGGTACTACCAGTACAGCACTGGTGTACCTTGACGCTGCAGCCGCTGCTTAGCGGGCAGAGAGCTTGGTGGGTTTAATTTAGTTTTTAGCAAGATTGTGTGACGTCCTATAGACCAGTGGTTCTCAACTGGTCTGGCTGCGGGACCCACCATCACCCCTTATTGACAAGCCACGACCCAAATTATATATATATATATATATATATATATAATTTGGGTATATCTATATTCAAGAAGTCTAGTAGTAGTAACGTCTCTGTGTAGTAAACAACTGCCAAATCAAATAAAGAAAGTACACATCACTTATATTTTAACAAATATTCTCATTTTTCAAATTTAACTGGATGGATTATAAATAATACATAGAAATACATGAATAAATGTTCTTCTCATTTCAAGTAAAATAAAGGTTGGATTCAAAAATAAATTACGCAACGAAATTCATTTTAGAAAAATTATTTTCACTGAAATGATCTGCAGCTTTAAATTCAGTTCATTCAGGGTGAAGTGAAAAAGCCACAATATAATATTTTTTTCATCTTCTAAAAAGAGAAATTAGTGTTGGAATAATTCACTTTTATGAGTCTGTCCAGTCAGAGTCTAATGACTCTGGTCTCTCTGGACATTTTTCTCTTTTGGTAATCGTCCTATGATTTGACTTTCACAACTCTCACTACAACAGTACTGCTCTGCGTTCTATATCCTCGTCTCTCCCCCGTGTGTCATGGAGTACTTCTCAAGTCTCTTAATTGTCGTTTCCTCGCTCCTCGCATGGTTTCCTCCATGCATCCCTTGGATGGACTAAGACGCAAGGAAAGGACGCAAGTGAGGGAAACGGGGATGCAATTATGTGTGTACATCTCACTCAAGTCAGGAAACTTGTCAGAATACCCATATTTGATTGGCTGAGCTGCATCACGTGAAGTGATTCACAATGCATTGGTCGGTGTTTTTCCTGCACCGCTGAACAAGCGCCTTAAATGCTGGAATAATTCCGCTGCATAAAAAATGCCCTTCAAAATAAAATCGCAACATTTATTTATCTATTTTTTTTGTCAGTCAAAGGCCCGTGACCCACTGAAAACGGGTCCGCGACCCACTTTTGGGTCGCGACCCACCAGTTGAGAATCACTGCTATAGACAACTTTGAGCCTGCATACATCGCGATTGTTTTTGAGTTTGAATGAAGTGTGTTTTACAACGCCTTACAGCCCATTGTTATCTAGACAGGGGTTGGCCAATTGCGGGTTGTATTCATTCAATCACACAATACACCGGTGGTCGTTGCAGACACACCTGGCGGAGATTTGCAGTCTGCTGAGTGCATTTTTCTCGTTCATCCTGCATTCGGGTACCATCATTTGACGTCACAGTGGTAGCTGGGGGCAAGGGAGAACTACAGCCTGCAATCCTAGCTTGGATTTCTAGTCTCTGCCTATGGGGCGTCCTCAAGATGCGGTTTAAGAACAGAATTTCCGAAACCTGTTTAAAGTTTCCTCTGTGTAAGTAAAATAAACAAAAAAAAAAAGAACTTCCTTGTTCTTTTCGCTGGCATTACGTTTCCAACAGTGAAAATGGCATCCCAAAATAAGAGAGCAGAGGATGTTATGGATGAGTATACAGCCAAAGAAATGCAGTGCAATCAGGATATAGCCAGTGAGGACGCTGGGCATCAAAACATCGTGTGCAATGCATCATAGGGCTGCACGATTATGGCCAAAATCATAATCGCGATTATTTTGATCAATATTGCGATCACGATTATTTATCACGATTATTCATTAATTTTAGGGACAACATCTTTTTATTGCACTTTCACGTTTAAATGAACAAGAACACTGCTTCCACTTCCATTGTTGTGCTACATTCTGGCTAATGTACAAGTCTTTGCATCTCGTGGAAGAAAAATATAAATAAAATAGTATCAACACTTTTTACCCAAAATTAAATCAACAGAGCACTGCTTTCACTTCCATGTTATGCTACATTCCAGCTAATGTACACGTCTTTACATCAAAATAAAACTTATTTTAAAACTTTATTAAAACGGTCATAGATAGCCAAGCCCTTGCTAATTAAAATCTAATCTTTAATAAAAAGATAGCTAGCACTACAGATTATGGTTAATAGTATTCTAATCACATCATGCTAATCACATTTTTCCTCACTGGCCTCGGGTGTGTAGGATTTCATTTTCACTTCACTTTTTTTTTTTTCTTTAAGTAATTATACTCATGAAGCTATGTTTTGGGGAAAGCCAGCAGACATGTTTAGCAGTCACAAAAGGCCTTTTGACATTCAACCTGAGCTTCTCTGCCCTGTTACCTTGGAAACAATGGGACCAATAATACGTTGGAAACGGGATTCATTAATAAATCACAGCAACCAAAGTTATGACTAATTGATCAATGCAAATGGAGGGAGAGAAGGGAGGTGGAACTTACGCCAAATCCAAAGGATGACGAGCTGTGTCTCATGAATGATACAGCTGTGGAGAGAGAGAGAGAGAGAGAGAGAGAGAGAGAGAGAGAGAGAGAGAGTAGTTAGTACCAATTGATTAGTTTCAGTACTCAGTTTGCTACTAATACAATATACTATATTAAGGTAGCATAAATGATGCATAATCATGTTTAACTGCGCATAAAATGCATAACATGTATAATAAACATGATGCGTCTCATGCGCAGAAAATAATGCGAAACGTAAAACAATTACATGACGAAACATTACAGGATAATAAGTGTCGGTTCCTGTATTTCTCCATTAGGATGGATGACAATATATAAAAAATACATCATAATGATATCAAGAGAACACATTACCATTGTGTATACAAAACAAGGCATAGATATTTTCAGGTGTAACATCTGTCTAACATGCGATCGTTTCTTTTTGTTGGTGGATAATTCATATTGGCAGTTCACCTCATGTACCCCTATATACCTAGAAAGTAGTATTCTCAAGGTATTTTATATACAGTAAGTAGTCCATAAAAGACGATTGGTATGATATTTTGCAATGAAAAACCCTTCCTCTTCATTCATCAATGTTCAAAAAGCAAAATAAATTTCTAATGTATACCACACAAGATTGCTTTTCTTACATGAGACTTACATTTAAATCAGCATGCATTTATTTTGGCCACTTGGGGGCACAAACCCCCCCCCCCCCCATAAACGTATTATTGACATATTACCATCTCACGCTGATAAACGTGTTAGCAAACAGTTACTTATTTACCCATCCAACAGGTACGGAGAAACATTAGTATCCATTTGGAGCCTTGTTTTTGGCCAGCTGACAAATGTAAGTCCAATATTCATTTGCTGTTTAGCTCTAGTTTGGTCCCTACCAACTCCCTTTTTTTCGCAGGTAAATGCTCCACTATGTTAGCCTGTTAGTTGCTAATCTTGTTCCGTGCTACAAGTGAGTTTATTAGAGGTGTTTTTCGTTGAAAGCAAGGTGTGTAAAACCAAAACAATGAGCTGAAATACTTCAAATAACTGTATAGAGCAAATACACCTTCCACATTTGAACCTTTTGGAGGCTCCATTTAAAACCGGCTAGATGCACAACTGTTTCCTGAACGGGAAAGAGGGTATTGTACATTCATTGCAGTTCTTGTCTAGCACACCTGTGCCTCTTTTCTTTTTTTTTGCCGTTCTGCCTGTCCTTGTGTTACTCTCTCTCTTTCTCCCCCCTACACCCTCCTGTGTTTCCAGGACAGAGTCTCATGGGGATAGCACATCGGCAGTTAAATCACCATGGTAACAGGATATGTGAGGCCAAGCTGGGACTTGGTTTGAACTACAGAGCTTTCATCTTGTTCCTCGCTTCCTACCCTCTCCATTCCTTGTCTTTGTAGCCTCTTCTCTCTTTTTTCCTGAGACTCTCAGATTCTGATTTCCTTTGACACATATCTCATCCTGTCCTTCCTTTCCCTTCCTCCCTATCTCAGAGTCTTTTTGACTGCTGGCCTTTGTCTTTTATTCATTCTCGCTGGAGCTGTCCTGCCTCGCAAAAAGGGAGTGACATTGAATTTTTGCCAGCCGCTAATAAATATCTGAACAAAAGCTACTTTTCCTTTTGTTTGATGCTTACAGTATACCACTAATGTGACAGAAAGAGTTACATCAAAAGGGAGAGAAGAAAGTGGAGAGGGCAGTCCCAGATCGACCCCTGATACGAGGCAGATGGTACTACTCAGGCTGGGTGCGTAACACATGACTGCCCCACACACGCTCACATATGCTATCCCTCTGTCTCGTTCTGTCTTGGAGACTGTGACCCAGCGTCTCCCTCTCTCTTTCTCTTTCATTCACATGTACAAACTCTCTCTCACACCGGGTGAGCTGACTCTTCCGGAGTTCCACCAGGCCTTCCGAACCCAAAGAATCCAAAGACGGAGCCAAACTGAGAGAGTGAGTGCTTCTACGATGAGTTCAAGAACCAAATACAGGGTAACCGGAAGGTTAGATACTCCCCTCTTCACTGACCTTTTGTCACTTTGAGCGGCATCAAATAAAGTTGCTTCTTAGCTGGTCGGACTGATCAATAAAATGAGTCTGAGAGCTGAAATCATCGGCTAATAAATGGCATATTCAAAACGTCTATCAATGCCATGAATGCACCGTGAGACTGTAAAGAATCTCCACTTGTTGGTAGTTTTACATTAGTTCCTTTTATTTCATTAGCTTATCTCCATGAAGAAGTATTATAACTTGCGACAGATGTCAGTGCTGTGTACGTCTACAACTAACGGTTATTTTCATTATCGATTAATCTGCCCATTTTTCTCGATCAATCGCTTAGATATATACAAAGTCAGAAATCAGAGAGAAATGTCCAAACCCAAAGATATTCAGTTTGACATGATATAAAACAGAGAAAAGATAGAAATCTTTGTAACTGAGCGGTTGAAAAACAGCACTTTTTTACAATACAATTAATAGATAATGAAAAAAGTTGGCGATTATTTTTCTGTCGATAGATAATAATTATAGATAATAATAATTATAGTACAATAATAATTGTAACAAAAGAGCCAATTATCCGTTCCAAGCTCTAAAGCCATGTTTTATTCATGAAGAATGAATAATATTTATAAGACTACAGGCACAGAGGTGAACTGTCAGTTCATCAGTTAAAGCAGTGGTTCTCAAACTGTGGGGCGCGCCCCTCTAGTGGGGCGCGGTGGTATTACAGGTGGGGCGCAGGGGGAAATGCAGAATTTTTTTTTAAATTTTTTTTTTTTAATTAATTAATAAATACATGGCGAAATGCCTGTACTTTCCTGTAAATGTTTACGTTATGCCGTTAACAGGTTACGCTTGCGCATGCGCGACGGCCATGATCCTTGGCGACTCACATGTGTGGCTTAGTGTTCAAAATGAAGAGACATTTGGCAGGCGGGAACAGAAAAGCAACCGTAAGCGATGCATCAGAGACGAACAGCAAGCAGCCAAGAAGAAAATATGATGACACCTATCTTGCTCTGGGTTTCACAGTGAACGCGGTAGGAGATGAGGAGAGACCAGTCTGTGTTTTATGTCTGAAAACTCTAGCTGCGGATAGTATGAAACCCAACAAATTAAAAAGACACTTGGAGACATTACACCCCACTCACGTCAATAAGCCACTGGAGTTCTTTCAGAGGAAACTTGATGAATACCACAAGCAAAATGCAGTGTAAAACTCTTCATAGCCAAATATTTGAACTTGTTTTGTTTAGTTTTTCACAGGTTGCACTTTATTGTTATCTTGAAAAGATGTTTAGTGCAAAACAGGTTAATTGCAGCCAATTGCAATAAGCTATTTTTTGCCAAATTGTAGTTATTTTTTGCACAGATATAACTTTATTTGCATTGTTCTAACAAAGTGATTGCACATTTTATTAGTTTTTGTCTGATGGAGCAATCTGGTTTACTTAAAAGTGATTGCAAGTTTCTTTATTCTATTATTTGAAAAAGCACAGACGGAGGAGTCACAAAATGTTATTTCAATAAAAATTCAACACAGACCATTTTGTTACAATTTTGTTGGGGCGGTGGGGCATGAACATTTTTCTTCCTCCAAAGTGGGGCGCGACAGAAAACTGAGTTAAAGTTATCCTCTTTTCAAAATGGCTCCGATACGATTCGAGATATGTCTCATATGCCGATGGACGTCACAGGGCCAGACAATAAGTTCTTCAGTGTGACATTTAGGACGAATAATGATTTGAGGAGCACATTTTAAAAGATATCCTAAAACCAAATATGAGTTTCATGACACGTCTCCTAGTGTGCATGTAATGCTGGAATCTCAGTGACAAATGGTAGACGTCAGTGCTTGACTCTTGAATATTGTGGGTCACCAGGTCTGGCATATAAAAGAATAAAAAGACTCTGGTTCTTCATGTGCTGCTCCGGGAGCCAATAGGGCAAACTGATCCTCCTCCTAGGCGTATGACATATATTGACCCATTCAGAGGGTCAACACACACCCACACATACAAGCAGATAGCGTGAGTGTGTGTGCGCAGTTGCAAGAGAGTTTGTGGATGCTGACGTTAAGCTGTAAGGACTATTTTCTGGCTCTTAGTTACCAACTAGTTGCCCCCCCTCTTGCCTAAAGAACTGCCTTTGACAAACATAATCCCACCCTGGAGGTTAGTTTTTAACGCTTAGTGCTTTGCTCGGGGACGTGTTAGTTGTTAAAGGAGTCCGGCTAGTACTTTCCTAAATTCAAAGGCATAATTTGTGGTAGAAAAGTGAACCAAAGTGTCTCTTTTTCTCCCTTCTTTCTTCAAACCTGTCTGCACTCATACATCCAGTGACAGGGTGGGTTCGTGCCCTTGATTATAATTGTCTCCTTGATCTAAAAGCTTCTGTGTGTGTGTTTGTGTGCGTGTGTGTGACCTTCTACATTCCAAGAGAGCCTCTGAGTTGAGAGCTGAACCCCGCTGCCTGAGAGGCACTGACCCATGAACTGCCATCATACAGCTCCACATTATAACGAGACAACATGAGTGTAGGGCTCATAGGGCTTCTAATGCTGAGTTAGCAGAACATTTATTCCCTTTACAGAGAGAAATTCCACCCTCGCTATGGCTTACAATATGTCCGTGTGCTCTAAACTTGTGACTACAGCGTGCTCAGTAGCAGGGAAAAACCATGTCATCATGTTGCAACTCCAAGGCCATGTGTAACATTTTCTAATAACACTGTGTAATTTATGAGTGGATCCTATTATCACGCGGGCTCACCATTACAAGCAAATGTGTTGTAGTTATCAGATATAGTGATGTGTTCCACAGTTGAATAACTCTTACTGTAAACTGTTGCATATTCAGAAAGAATCCCGAGCCACACCAACTCCAGGACTTATCAAAAAGTTTTTTTTGTTTAAAAAAACAATGTTTTCTGAAGGTGAGTGTGATTAAATATTTTTAAGCCACAAAGATGCATTATGGGGGCTCCTTACTTTTTCCAGCAAACTGCTACACAG